CCAGGAGTCTTGTGTCTTTTGTAGTATCCATGAGACTGTGGCAAGCTAACCTGTTAGCTTGCTGAAAGGGAAACATCTCTGACCTTTTATGTTCTTGGCAAGTTAATATGATTTCTAAATGTTACAAACTAACCTCACATCCTAGAATAAAGTCACTTGGTCATGAAATGTTACCCTTTTATAGTGAGCTTTTTTTTTTTTTTTTAAATGCCAAGCTGGTGGGTATTCTCTCTTCTCCTTTGAGAGAATCTGTTCGTGATTAATATTATTTCTCCCTGAAATGTTTCAAAAAATTTACAGGTATCCATGTTACCTGGAGTTTTCTTTGTAAAAAAATATTTAAAAAATAGATTTCTGTTTTGGTAGAAAACAAGTTACAGGTTCAAACGACTCAGTAAACCTCAAGCAGAACAAATACGAAGGGAATTACACTGAACAGATCACTGTCAAATCACCCAAACTCAAACATAAAGAAAAAAACCTTGAAAGCAGCGGAAGGGAAAAGGAAGCATACAAGGGACAAATGACATGAATAAAAGCTGATTTCTTATAGGAATAATGGAAGCAGAAGACAAAAAAGTGATCTCTTTAAAGTGTCTGAAGGAAAAAGATCTGTCACGGATGGAAAAAGACCAAAGAGTAAATGAAAGAAATTGGGTGTGGCATATTGATAATAGTAAATAAACTAGACTTCAAAACAAGGCGTACTTAACACAAAGAGAAATGATGCTAAAAAGCCATTTCACCTGGAAGATGCAACAGTTCAAACTGGGTATATAATAACAGAGCTTCAAAGTGCAGAAAGCAAAGCTTAACTAATCAAATGGAGACAAATCCACAATCAGAGCTGAAGTGTTTTTTTTTTTTTTAGAGACAGAGTTTCACTTTGTTGTACTTGGTAGAGTGCCATAGCGTCACAACTCACAGCAAACTCCAGCTCTTGGGCTTAGGTGATTCTCTTGCCTTAGGCTCCGGAGTAGCTGGGACTATAGGCACCCGCCACAACGCTCACCTATTTTTTGGTTGCAGTTTGGCGGGGGCCGGGTTCAAACCCACCACCCTTGGAATATGGGGCTGGTGCTCTACCCACTGAGACACAGGCACTGCCCAATAGCTGAAGATTTTTTAACACTCCCCTCTTAGCAGCTGTTAGAACTAGAAACAATTACGAGCATAGAATTATGTTGTCCAGCACAGTAACTACTACTGGCTATGTGTTTATCTAAACTTTAAATCTAGAAGGTAAAAATGAAGTGTACTTTTACATTTACAAGGGGTGGTCATAAAGACACTTGGCTTAGGAAAGTATTTTAGAGGGTCAGAGATAGGCTTTGAGGCGTCTGATTTTGGGGTACACAAATCTAGTTGATGTAATGGGGTACCGTCCTGATGCCTGCGCCAGATACTAGACTGAACAGCACAAATGGTTTGGTACAGTTCTTGATTTTGATAGACATAGCAGCTCTTGATTTTGACAGATTCAGTTGTTCTTCACTTTTGCACTGCTGTTCTGAGACATTCCATGCAAACAGAAACCCAAAGCTAGCAGGAATAAATATGCTTATATCAGATAAAATAGACTTAAAGCAGTCAGAAGAGACAAAGAAGGTTATTATATGAAGATGAAGGGATCAATTCAACAAGATGTCACAATTGTGACTACATAGACACTCAACACTGAACACCAGAAACACATATAAAGCACATATTAAATCTGAAGGGAGGCAAGATGATATACTAGGCAATTTCGATACTCCACTTTCAACAATGGCTAGATCATCTAGACGGGAAAACAACAAAGAAACATCAGACTTAAATTGCACCACAGATCAAATGGACCTAACAGACATTTACAGAATATTTCACTAACAGCTGCAGAATACACATGTTTCTCAGTTACACACAGAACATTCTCCAGGACAGGTCATATACATGGGTCATTACAACAGTTCTGAGATACACAAAAATCACTTATATAAACGTATAATCATTTATATAAACATAAAACCTGCATGGATGGAAACAAATGAAGCCCTCCCAGCAACACCGATGAGCCAAGCAAGTTGGAACTTGGGTGGGTGACTCAGAAAGGACACTGTTGACTGTTTCTTTGGAGTGAAATAATGGACCATAAAATGGCCTGTCTCAAAACTTTTGTAGTGACCTATGTATGAGGCCACAAAACAAGTCTTAACAAATTTAAGAAGACAAAGGTAATATTGAGTGTTTATTTTGACCACAATGATATAAAACTAGAAATCGACAACAAGAAAAACTTTGGAAACTTTACAAATACATGGAAATTAAACAACATGCTCCTTGACCATCCAATGGGTCAAGGAAAATTTAAAAAATTCCTTGAGACTATCGAGCATGGAAACACATAATACCAAAATCTATGGGACAAAGCAAAAGCAGTGCTACAAGGGAAGTTTATATCTTACATCAAAAAAGAAGGACTCCTAATACCCTAACAATGTACCTCAAGCACCTAAAAAAACAAAAACAAAACTGAACTCAAAATTGGCAGAAGGAAATAATAAAGCTCAGAGAAAAAATGGTGGGTTTGAATCCAGCCCGGGCCTGCCAAACAATAATGACAACTACAACAACAGCAACAACAAAAATAGCCAGGCATTGTGGCCGGCACCTGTAGGCCCAGCTACCTTGGAAAGCTGAGGCAAGAGAATCACTTAAGTCCAAGAGTTTGAGGTTGCTGTGATCTATGATGCCATGGCACTCTACTCAGGGTGACAGCTTGAGACTGTCTCAAAAAAAAAAAGAAAAAATTAGCAATGTGTACTCCTAGCTACTTGAGAAGCTGAGGTGGAAGGATCACTTGAGCCTAGGAGTTCCAGCCCAAGTGACAGAGTGAGAAATAAATAAAAAATATATTTTCTAAGAATCCCTTAGATGTCAAAACTTGACTGGCCTATGTAAAGTAATAAGAATAAACACTATCTCATCTCTCTCAGATACCTTCCCACCTCCCCTATGCCTGCTGAGGAGAAGGGAGGGACAGCTTTCAGGGTCTGCTACAGTTCTACATCAGGGATAAAGGCCAGAGAACAACTCCAAAGACTGTACCAGAACCCTTTCCACTCGAATTCACAGCTGACGAAAGTGTGCAGGTGGTAACTGGGAGTAGAGTGAGATTTCTTGTCAGCTCGTATCTGGGAAGGTGAGACAGCAAGTGTGGAAATGACTAAGCATGTTGTACGTGCTACGCTGGGAGGCGTGGTGTGAGGCTCCACACAGGCATCAGGACACCTAACAACACAGTGTCTGTAAGAAACTACATTCACCCCCAGTGGTTTAAATCAGAAAGATGGGCATAGTTTTGTTCTGAAGTACTACAGTTGTCAATCATCCTTTTTAAGTCGCATGAGTTTAGTTTTTAGTTTGGCAGATTACAACTGCTATTATTCACCTCAATACATCTTCCTTCAAGAAGGATTTGGTGACTATAACAACACATGTATATATAGGAAAATGTGTGCATTTTCCCCTGGAAGGCCCAATGGAATTGCAATGAGCATTTGGCTGGATCTTCTGCCTCATCACATCTGAGGCATGTGACTCAGTTGTCTGGGTGACAAGAATGCAGGGTTGCTGCATCACAGGGTAGCCCAAGGGAGAATGCCAGGACATAATGGCATTTATCAGCAGAGAAGGCTAAGTTCCCCAGTGACCAGAGGACATGGGGAATTGAATGGGATCAAGCAACTGAGAGAAAGGCCAGGGAGGGTAAAAGTCAAGTGCGGTAAGATAAATGGTTGTAGACCCAGAGGGCCTGGTGCTCTCCAGCAATAAATATACTTGGGGAGAGGGGGCAGGCAGATGGGAGGGATAAGTGAACAAAGTAATCAAGGGTAAGAAGATACTGAATGAAACAACTGCTCCCAAGAAAGTGCTACAAGAGGCCGGAAAAATTTATGCAAAGGAAGTCAATGCAGAGGGGAGCGTCCGCCTAACCTGCCAGAAGCTTCAGAGCAACCAATTGCACAGGTTTGGGGAGCCCGAGATCAGTGCAGACCCCAGGACGTGGAACAGGTAACTTTAACACCAGATGGAACCCTGTTGGGAAATTAAGTGTCCTACCTGATTCAAAATTCATGAGGGAAAATGAGTGCAGATGCCAAAGTAGGAGTAAATTTCCCTGGAGAAAAGGTCGCCTTAGAAGGAAGCAGGGCTGGCGTTTAACAGGTGTCAGAAATTGCTGCATTTGCGTAGTAGAAAGAACACAGGTGTTGGGAGCCCAGCTAGATGTGAGTTCCAGTCTCAGGTGTCCTATGTACCTTTATTTTATTTATTATACAACTTTGAGCAAAGCACTTAACCTCTCTGAGCAATTTCCTCACCTACAAAGTCTGCATTAGAAATCCTATACTTACAGGGCTGCAAAGCTTCTGCTACATGTAATGACAACTCCATAAATGGTGACTATTATTTGTTGTTTTAAGTCTGAACCAAATTTATAACCAGAGATAAACTGAGATAGGGGAATTCTCATAAATTCCTTGAGTTGGCAAGAGTGGATATCAAGAAAGTTGTAAAGACTCTAACATATATTTTAATATCACATATCTAAATATCAAGAGAGCTGAGATGCAACTATATTGCTTTTAATTAAGAGAATTTTCCTTCCCTTTCCTTTAAAAAATGTGTTTTTAAAAAAATACATTGGGCTCTTTGGTGTTTTCTAAATTGTTTTTGTCACTGAGCCCATATTACTTTTATAATTAGAAAAATGAACTGATTCATACAAAGGTGGTGGAGAGACAGATGCATTGCCTGCTATTGGAAGAAAGCCTGAACAACTGGGGTAGGGAAGTGGTGACAGAGTGAAGGTGATAAATCTGAGAGAAATTTACAAGGTATTCCTGATTCTCTACTGGGAATTCTCTACAGTGTTGCAAGAACCACTTGCGCCCTCAGATTTAAATTATCTTAATTTTTTAAAATAAAGAATAAAGTTTTAAGAAATCTAGCCATTTTACCTGATAAGGTCCTGAACTCGACTGTTAAAAGCATCACCTTGCGAGGGTTTGTTTTTCATTTCCTGTGTTGATATTTTTGGTGTAGTTGGCCGGCTGTTTCCATCTGGTCGATTGGCAATCAGGCAGCTAAAAACCACAGCACTGACTTTGAGAAGTCCATTTGTCAAGCCTTCAAAAACTTGTTTATTTGTATTTCTTCCCAAAATAGCACTATTTTTATCTGGAACATAAACCTAGAGGGGAAAAAAGTACAGTACATGTGTTTAAATAAAACCACCAAACACAGAGAAGATTTAGAACATTGATGGAATCATAAATTGAAATTCTATAGGTGACAATCTTACATGTTCCAGAGTGTTGGCTCTCAGGTTAGATGGCTAGTTCAAATCTCAGCTTTGCCCTCACTACCTGGGTGACCTTGGGGAAGGTTACTATTTCTAAACTCTAATTTCTCTAACAGGATAATAACAGTACGTCTATCACAGAGTTCTTGTGGGATTAAATGAGCTAATGCACATAAAACTTTAACTACATGTATAGGCATGCAGTAAATATTCAATAAATATTTATTTAATTGAATGAATTACATTAGAAATTTCTATCAACTCAAGAACAAACCAAATGATAAACTGACAGCATTGTTTCTTGTTGGAGTGAATTTTAAAAATATCTAAGTTCCTTTGATAGGGTTAAATTTGCATTTCTTATTAAAAAATGGCAAAATAGGTATTTTCCTAGGGCTGTACATATGGTTACATCCAGCTCTCTTTATACATAATTTACAGGAAATAATGTGGTCATTAAAAGTTGGGGCTTGGAGCCAGAATCTGGGCTTGAATTCTGACTCTGTGGCTGTATGACCGAGACAAATTCCTTGCCTTCTCTATCTCCCCACCTCCCAGGACTACTATGAAGTTTAAGTAAGAAGAATGGAAAAATATTTAGCTTTTTAAACTATTACACGCCACAAATACACCTGTTTAGCAACAACCAGCATTTGCTTCATTTTCACTCTTATACTAATTCTATCAAAGATAGAGAAGTAAGAGATTAGTTGGATCCAGAAGGAGGATCTTTATGAACACTAGCAACTTATTGGCCAGAACTAGTTACATAGTCCAACTCAACCACAAAGGATCCAGGAAATTTCATCCGATTATGTACTGGGAAAAAGAGAATCAGAATACGAGGTATACAGCACTACTGACTGTAATCATACTGTTTTCCCCATTATCACTATGCAAATATTTATAACTAATCTATTTAACAAATGATTCTATTTACTTTCTTATCCACATCTGTGGTTTCACTGAGATAACCTTTTTTTCATACTTGAATTTCCTAGTTATGTATCATTAATTCATCGTCATTCTTTCTGGTTAAAATGAAATTTCCTCTCAAGTTCAAACACATCAGGAATTGTTGATTCTTTTTCTTCCCACAGTGGGGATATTCATTCTTCCTGAAATCTGCCATCCTCCTGCTCTACTATGGACTGGTGGCTCTCCAGGCCTACTACACAGCTCTCATTTTGAGCTTGCCCCTGGATCCTTTTCATCCTTCCTCTGGATTAGATGGCCCTTATTTCTCAGATTCTATGTCTTCTTTTTCTTCCCATATAATTCTCTAATTTTGTTTTAGGATAAATTCTAGCAACTTCCTGAGAAAGAGTGTATGGGAAGAAACATTTTGAGATCTTGAGTTTCTGAAAATATCTTTATTCTATCCTTACACTTGACTGTAGTATGGTTGATATAAAATTCTTGTTTGGAACTAATTTTCCTTTAGTTTTAAGGACTGCGTCATTGTTTTCTACTTCAAACACTGCTGTTGAGAAGTCTACTCTAATTCATAATGTTTAGTATCTGCCCTGTACTTTCCTCCCTGGAGACTTAGGAACTTCTTATCCCTGATTTCTTGCACCTTGGTATAAGGCATTTTTTCATTTATTGTGCAGCAATATTTTAAACTTAAAAGTCGTATGTTTCATTTCTGGGAAAATTTCTTGCATTATTTGTTAATTTCCTACCATTCATTTTCTCTGGTGGATTTTAAATCTGGACCCAGCTTCTAATTTTTTTATATATATTTTTTCTCCTATTTTTTTTCACCTTTTTGTCTTATGTTCTACTTCTTTGGATTTAAAATATATATATTTTTTAATTTTTTTTTTTGAAACAGAGTCTCACTATGTCTCCCTTGGAAGAGTGCCGTGGTGTCACAGGTCACAGCAGCTGCCAACTCTTGGGCTTAAATTAGTCTCTTGCCTCAGCCTCCCAAGTAACTGGGACTACAAGCACCCACCACAATGCCTGGCTAATTTTTTGGTTGGAATTGTCATTTTGTTTAGCTGGCCTGGGATGGGTTTAAACCCACCAGCCCTGGTGTATGTGGCCAGTGCCCTAACCACTGAGTGACAGGTGACAAGCCCATCAATTATATTTTTAAGAGCTCTTTTTGGCTCCCTGTATGTCTTGTTTTTGTAGTATCTTGTTTTTAGTTCATAAGGGTATAAATAGGTACTGTACAAGGATACAGTAGCTTTGCATTTTTGTGAAATTATACTTTTTGAAAAGATTTTCTTTCATTTCTTGCATGGTCTGTTTCCTTTAAGTTCTTTCTCTGGACTCCAGATTGAAGGCTTTCCTCATTTATGTGGTAATCTTCGGTTTTTTTGTTTTAGATGAACAGATACATTAATCAGTATATCACAATCTGGATTTAAACCCAAGTTGGATACAAACTTTGTGGGAGGGGCTTCAACTTTGGTGACGAGGCAGAGGCTCAGCTTTTCCATGGTGTAGAATCCCAACTTTCAATATTTATAGTTTGTTCTCCTGGGACAGACAATTTCCCTATATAGAGTGCAATCCTGTATCCTCCAAACCTGGAGTCTGTAAGAGGGTGCCTGTTTCTCAGAAGTTCACAGGAGAAGGGGGCTGAGTGTCTCACTGTTCTGGACAGATGTTCTCTGAATCATTCTGTTTTTGTATGGCTGTGCCTATAGTGCCTGTGTCCAGAGAAGTCTGCTTCAAGCTAGTGTCTTCCATGAGGGTAGAGGATGGGCAGTCATTTGGCTCTATATACACATGTGGCAGGTGGGTCCTAGGGTAAGGTGACCAGATTTTAACATTGGTAAACTGAGACATCATTGACGGGGGTGGAGGGGTGGTTCTTAATTAAGAATTTGGTCTATATGGAGCAACAAAAAATTTCATAGAATGCAAAAATAGTATTGTTAATATATATATTTTTTAAACTTCAACATAAGTACAATTTACAAATATAATACATTTTTTAAAAATTATGTATAGGGAAGTGCCTGTGGCTCAAAGGAGTAGAGCACTGGTCCACCTGGGCGACCTTGCCCAGGAGGGGAGTAGGGAGTTTACATTAGCCTTTTCATTTCCAAATGAAGTTACATTAACCTTTTCATTCCCAAATGGAGTTACATTAACCTTTTCAGCAGCTGAAAACCGTATATTTCCTTCCTGTTGTCCCGCTGTCCCCTAGCTTGTTGTGCACTCTTTCCAAAAGTCGGGACTTTTTAAAAATGCCACAGGATGCGGGACAAATTGTTTAAAAGCAGGACGTCTGGTCACCTCATCCTAGGGCATCTAACTGCCTCTTACATGTAGACTTTCAATCAGTTTTCCTCTTTACAGCCCTACTTGTACCCTTATTTTCTGAGATAGCCAGTAACTCTGATTCTGGGGCCTTCTGGGGTTCCGTGGCACAAATTTTCTCCTGCTATTCTTTTTCCTCCTAGGTTAGGCTTTAGCTTTTAGGTAACTGTTTCTTAATCATCTGCTTTCTAGATTAAAAATATTGGCTTTTCTTTCCTTCCTGTGCTTTCCTTAAGGGTTTACGACTTTATGTATTTACTAAAATGTTAGTGGGGCCTCTGGATAGACAGAATGCAATTTATGTGTTCAGTTGGCCACATTTTAAGATTAACTCAATAAATCCTCTAATGACACAACTTTCTTTTTCACATGACAGAAAGAATATGAGTAATATATTTCGAATATGAGTAATATATTTCTGGGTAATGTCAAGGTTCTTCATTCATCACAAATTTTCATATTCCTTTTTTCCCACAACTTTGCACTGCTTTTCATCATGACATGTTTAAAGTCAAACATTATGCATGTATGCATGGTGTGTCTTCAGCAATTTTTCATGTATCTAGTGTTTTATCCAGTAATTGCATTTTTTTTGAAGACAGTCTTACTCTGTTGCCTTGAGTACAGTGCCCTGGCATCACAGCTCACAGCAACCTCAAATTTGGGGGCTCAAGTGATCCTCTTGCCTCAGTTTTCTGAGTAACTGGGACTACAGGTGCCTGCCACAACACCTGGCTAGTTTTTCTATTTTTAGTAGAGAAGGGATTTCACTCTTGCTAAGGTTGGTCTCAAACTCCTCAGCTAAAGCAATCTACCCGCCTCAGCCTCCCAGACAGCTCAGATTACAGGCAAGAGTCACAGTGCCCAGCCAGTAATTGCATCTTCTAAGAATATAGTTGATAATCCAGAAGAAATAAAAAAGACTTCTGAGATACCCAAACTAATGTCATTTATTTAATCACCTGTTCATCTAAGATTTGAATATTTCACATGTACATGGCCAAGGGAGAGGAGACAAAAGCATCCTTAGGCTTTCAATCAGACCCTATAGACTCTGATTTTACAAAACTATAATTTGTGATTTCTTGGTTTATAGAACAGAAAAGCCATGACCCTTTTGGAGGTAGGCAGTAGCAAAATGTGACCCTAATTCTGGAGACACAAGGCAAGACAGAGATATGAATGCAATGGCATGGCAACATGGGGACAGTTAGACTCACTCATCTTCATTTCCTATGAAGTTATTCTTTACAACAAATCAGTGTTTACTGCTGACTCTCAAAATGACAACCTTAAGGTATCAGGAGAAGGTTAAATTATGGGGACTGGGAAGGAAAGGTGCTAGAGTCTTAAGAATTTCCCTTACCTTATCTTAAGTTTTCCTGGACTAAGAAACCAAAGTTTAGAGATACCCACCAACAAGCTTCACAGACAGTAGTGCAAGAGCTGAGGCTTAGACCTGAGCTGATGGAAGACTCTAAGGCCCATGTGCTTTGCCTCACCCCAAAATGACTCCCTCCCACTGGGTATCTCTTTTACTGAAGATTCTTTGTCTCTGGTGGAGGAGGTGAAAATTGGTCACAGGCTAAACACTGCCTTACTGATGT